AGAGTGGTGGGAAAGACTGAGAGGAAGTGGTCCCTGACTACGCGAAGGGAGTCAGGGAGGCGAGTGACTAAGTAGCAGAGAGTGATGTACATGGGGGGGGGGGGGTTCTTGGCGCAGAAGTCAGCAGGAAGCGCAGCGCGGTAGCGAGTGTCACTAGTGCGGAGGTGCATAATGAGGTCAGCGACTGTGGGAAAGGCAGCAAGGTCAGGGAAGAGGTACGGTAGCATGAGGCGGCTCAGTGCAGCAGTGGCAGGGGAAGAGTAGCGCGCAACTAGAGCGTCGTACAAGGTCTGAGCACTCTTGTACTGACTAAAGTGTGCGCGCTCAGTGGTAGGAAGGTGGCGACGCACAGCAAGACGTGCAGCAGCATCGCGAGTGGCCCACTGTGAGCGAACGGTGGCGTTGGCATCGGCAGCGGGGGCAGGGGAAGCACCAGAGGTGAGGTCAAAGAGGGAGAGACCGTCTGCCCTATCGCACTGTAGGAAAAGCTGCAGGTCATCTACCCAGACGTCAAAGTCAATGGCCCGACCCTCAGCGTCAAAAGTGAGAACACTAGGGGTAGCCATGACAGCAGTAGACTAGCAGCGCTAACTGTAGAGCAGGGGCAGTGCGGTGACAGAGGCGCTGCGCTCACCAGACAGGGCGGTTCGGGCAGCTCGGGCGGCTCGGCAGCAACTGCAACTCGGCGGCACTAGCGGCTCGGCTCCTCAGCTGCTCAGGCAGCTCGGGCAGCTCGGGCGTCTCGGGCGGCTCGTGCGGCGCGGGCGGCGCGGGCGGCTCGGGCGGCTCGGGCGGCTCGGCTGCGGAGGCGTGCGGGCGGGGCCGTAGGTAGGGCGGCGGGGCCGTGTCGAAGGTAAGGCGACGGGGCCGGAGCCAGGCCGTAGGTAGGGCGACGGGGCCGGGGCCGGGTCGTAGGTAGGGCGACGGGGCCGGGGCTGGGCCGTGGGTAGGGCGACGGGGCCGGGGCCGTGCCGTAGGTAGGGCGACGGGGCCGGGTCGAAGGTAGGGCGACGGGGCTGGTGCGCAGGTAGGGCTACGGGGCCGGGGCCGGGTCTTAGGTAGGGCGACGGGGCCGGGGCCGGGTTGTAGGTAGGGCGACGGGGCCGGGTCGACGGTAGGGCGACGGGGCCGGTGCGCAGGTAGGGCGACGGGGCCGGGGCCGGGTCGTAGGTAGGGCAACGGGGCCGGGTCGACGGTAGGGCGACGGGGCCGGTGCGCAGGTAGGGCGACGAGGCCGGGGCCGGGCCGCAAGTAGGGCGACGAGGCCGGGGTCGCAAGGGGGGGACGACGGGGCCGGGGTCGCAGGTAGGGCGACGGGGCCGGGGCGCAGGTAGGGCGACGGGGTCGGGGCGCAGGTAGGGCGACAGGGCCGAGGCGCAGGTAGGGCGACGGGGCCGGGGCGCAGGTAGGGCGACGGGGCCGAGGCGCAGGTAGGGCGACGGGGCCGGGGCGCAGCTAGGAAAGGGGAGCGGGACTCGGGGTGCGCGCGCTCCGGGCAGGAAAAATTATTTCGAGTTGGTGGGCCCTAGGCACAGTTCCCACGATGGAACCTGCTCGATACCATGAGAAGATTGAAACGAGAATGGGATGAACTATGAATGAACTGAGTACAAGTACTAACCCTAATTGGGTTGTACCCCTTATGGGCTACCCCACTATAGCCTACAGAATAAGCACAAGCTATATGTTCTGACACCGTCTTCTCGCCTCCTCCCTCGTGGTCGGCACCCCCTCCCACACCTGCTCCCTCCGCCTCCTGGTCGATCTTTCTCGAAAATAGCTTGACCATGAACAACGGAAGCACACCCGGGCCAGGGTTCGTTCTCCCTAGATGCACGAGTTCGCCCTTTCGAGGCTGTAGGATGAAGTCGTCCCATTTCGACAGAATCCGGCGCACCCCATGCACGACACGAGCTGCCGCGCCGTTTTGATAGGGGCTCGACAAGGCCGTCGTCGTCTGCGACGGGTACAAAACATACGTAAGCGACAAAACACATGCTCGACGAAAACGCTGGTGGTCTAAGGAGAGCTTACCAGATGGTCGAAATCCTCGTTCAACTCCAGACGAAGGTCCATCACGTTCAACACTTCTTGGTCGTCCTCGGTCAGAGCCTGGTGGGTCATCGCGTACTCGGCGCGAAGCTGCTTCTTCATCCACCTGCGACGTAGCGGACAGAAGAGTAAGATTGTCGAGAACAGCAGCTCGACAGCAGGGTGGCAAAGCTATCACTCACACGAAAACTTCTTGCGCCAGAGAAGATTGGTGGTTCATATCGGGAAACTTGTCTTTCGAATTGAAGTGCATCATTCGAGTTCGACTGCCACGGTGCCTCGGAGCCAGCAGATCGTCGAGGCGCGATACCACAAACAGGCTCGAGTGGGAGAACGGAGGCACACTCAGTCTGCATGCAGAGCCAATGTATGTGAGAACGGGTTCAGGGCTAGAGACGGAGCACGCAAGGCGACGGGAGAGTGTCGAACTCACGGTGTCCGCAGCAGAACGAAAACCACTTGCTTGCCGAGGAGGCCGTCGAGGTGGTTGTTCGCAAAAGCGACTGGGGTGGGACGGGCCATCTCTTCACGCGCACGCGCTGGAGTCACGATCGACACCTTGGGGAGCTGCTCGACGGACAGCAGCTCATGACAGAACAGGCTGCACGGAAAGCTAAGGCAACGTCAGCGAAAATGGCAAACATGGCAAACCGAAAATGTTCGACAAGACACGTACACAACGCCTGCGACCATCAAAGCTCTCGTCGAGCTCCCCTTTCGGCGCCTCTCTAATCGCATTCAGCTGGTCCTCGTACACCTCCACCTCGACCCCGCCTGCACTAAGGATGAGGCCGCGTCGAACCGTCGCCTCGTTCATGACGGGTACGGAGGCGGAGCCCGTAGCCATGTCAGGCCTAGCAGTGGAGAGGGCGGGCGCGCAGGGGAGTTGGGAACTAGCAGGGACTAGGAAGTAGGGAAGTAAAAATCGGAAACATCAACAAAATGAGACCGGACGCAGGGTATTAGTTGTTTGCCATCCCTCCCACCGCGACGGACCAGGGGGGTTCAAGGGCCAGGAGGCAGGGCGCTTTCCGAGACGCGGGAGGAGGAGGGAGGAGCTCTTCGCGGAGGCCCGCGGGGCCCTATTGGCCTCGACGTGAAACCTGGTTGTTGGTAGCATGGGGTGGGCCGCCTTGCATGCAGCTGAAAGGCCCCTTCCAAGGTTCGGGAGGGGGCCTTCGACACGTCACCAAGATCGAGCGGCTTGAACGAAACGGGCCCGTCTAGGGCGAGAGCGGTGGAGCGCGGCGTAGATGGGCGTCGATTTCGTCTGGCCGGCGAAATTTCGCGGACTGGTTCCGTCGGCGATGCGTCGCTCGGCGAGGGATGGGTGGGTTACTGGACGGAACCCGTCCACGCACCGAGCGAGGGGTTGGGCTCGGTTGGGAGGGGGACCACTGCCAGCTCGAGGGCGCGGGCAGCTGGCGTCATCGGCAGCTGGCGCCAGCTGGGGGTGCCCGTTTTCGGGCGGGAGGGGGGGGGGTGGCTCCCGCCCGTCGCGTGGCCCGCCATGCGATAGAGGGAAAACGAAAATCCCTCCGAGGAAAACCCGCAGGGGCGAACGGGTTTCCGCGGAGGGATTCGGGCGAGGTCTTCCCGAACAAAAGTATCTTTTCCCCACACCACAACCAACATACCGTATCCTACCAAACTGCGCCCCGATTGACTCAAAATGTAACAGATTGACAAGTTTATTTCACATATGAAGAGCTAGGAAGATGCTTACAGCTAATGATATACCAATGAAGACCTGCTCAAAATAAAACAAGCAACCCTAACTAGGAGAATAACTGGTTGGCCCTTAAGGGCCGAAGGCAACACAAAAGGTTGGGGCTGAGGTTGTACGCAAACTATTCATGTAAATCTGGTATATAATCAAATTTCCTTACCATGAATATCTTCATGAGCCATCGTAACACATAAATGAAATATTACATATTCTGGTTAGCCATAAAGTACCAAACTACTGAAACATAAAGTTCAAGAATCCTATGGGAATGAAAATATGATTCAATTGTTTTCTTATCCTACGTGTCGCCGATTCATCATCTTTAATTGGAAACTGATTAGTGGAAAACTCAAATGGTTGCTGCATAAGTCTGGTAATGCGCCTTGGTAACTTTCCATCCTTTCTGGTGTATCTCATCGTTAGCTTGCAGCAGGCGTTGTTCTGCAGGCGTTTAGGGTTCCGCACCAATTTGACCACGGTAGCCTTCCGTGCATTTTCTAGGCGCATTCATGCTGGTTGCGTCGCGCGGATGTTGCTGCCTCGCATAACATGTGCGGAGGCTGATGCTAGCTCCCGAGGTAGAATTAGCACCGCACTAGTTGTGCGACCATTTGCCCGGCGAAGCAACAACTTCGAGCCTGCTGACGGTTAAATTCGTGCGCCCCAAAAGTGGCGTTCTGCAGGCTGAAGCGTTAAATTTGGCGCAAACAGGTTCGGCAGGGCCTTTCTTATCACCAAACCTTGATATGCAGAAGACCACTTATCAGGGAAGATTCTGCAGACCCAGTTTTCTGAAAAATTTACGCCTACAGAACAGCGCCAGTATGTCTAAGGGAGGTTGCCCCCGCAAAGTTCACCTTCATCCGTGCAATCCCCACCACGGTGGTGGTGTTTCTTGGAGGGGTGAACTGACCCAAGTAGAGGATGACGTGGAATAGTTCATGCGCACTGACGTGGCGGTCTGAGAGGCCTTGAGCTGATTGCGAGAGGGGTTGGGGGAAGGGCGAGAAGAACCCAAGAGCCGTGCTCAGAGTTTGGTTACTTGCCATAAGCGACGACGGGAAATCTCTTCGCCACAGCAGAGTTAGTTACCACTCGCGGACACAAATCTCTAGGCACTGATTTTCCCAGTCACACTCACTCCCCCCACACCCCACTTCGCCCACATCCATGACTGATTAAATTCTTACCTAGGCCCACACAGGCTTTACCCTAGTCCATGGAGGCTCTAACTTCGTCTCTCCTCTCCACGCCGCCTCCTACGCATCGGAATAAGCCATCTATCGCTAAGCTCAATCGCTCGTCCGCATTGCCAGGGTCCCTTCCCCACGGACCCCGTCCCACATTTCCACCGTCCCTCAAATCGCCTTCGCCACTAGCCGGCGGTCCCAAATGCTGGTCGCGAGTACCCGCGCTTCCGCAAGGCTCCGCCGATGACGCGCGCGCGGCAGAGCGGAGTTACGATGAGGTGGAAGAGGCGATTCGGCGAATTTCCGACGAGCAGGATCAGCTGAGGGCCCGCGTGGTAGAAGCGTCGGAAGCAGCGTGCAATGCGGACGTCGATGTAGTCCGGCCGGTGCTAGGATCAGCGTCTTCGCAACCGCCGCAGGCGGAGGCGCCGTCCGCGATGGACGTGCGATCAGCGGTGAGTGCGGCGGTGGGGGTTTGTCGGGTGGTGGCTCTGACCGCTTTCGCACAAGGCGGAAGAATTAAGGGACGTAGGTTACGCCGTATTAGATCCGCCGTCACAAGTGAGTGCATTTCGCTTCTCCACTCCATTCCCTCATTCATCCCCCTCTCCTCCATTTGTCCCGACCAGCATCGGTCCCGCACGAAACTAGCGGCGAGATTTGAAGTGTGAGGTCATTCGGCCTTGCCGTTATCATTAAGGAGTAACGAGCACGTGTTAGAATGCGTCTCATTGCCCGCACTTGCGCTGCTCCCATGGCAGGGCGCGAGCTGGAGCTCCTTCCCGTCACCAGAACCCAATTCTACCTCGTCCGCATCCCGCCGGAGTCGAGGCCGGGTGCGCGCACCTCCGTCCGCCAGTCAGGCCCCCCGCCTCCTCGGCGCGCCCACCGCGCCGTCCGCGGCGGCGAGACCGGGTCCCGCGCCAGCCCAAGGCGCGGCGCCGTCTCTTTCCGCAACGCTGCTGTCACTGTCGCGGCTGTCGCGCGCGGAGACGAGCGGCACGAAGCGCATGGTAGCCATGGTTGCCGCGTGGGACGCCATCGCCTCGCGCCTCCCGCCCTCCGCTGACGGCGGAGCGGGAGCACCAGGAAGCGCAGCGGGAGGTGGCGGCGTGCAGACGGTCCTGGCGGCGCTGAGGCTCGCGCTGATGGCGCAGCAGCAGCAGGAAGAGCGAGGAAGGGGCAAGGCCGGGCAGGTGTGGCGGCGCGAGACGGTTCGGGTGGCGAATGAGGAGAGCGGGTCAGGGGGGGACGGCAGAGACGCGTTCACACGAGGCGTGGCTGTTGCTGCCATACTCGCTGACTTGCGAGTGAGTGCTCGCCCTCTTCCTCTCTCTCGCTTTCTCTCTCCCTCTCTTCCCCCTGTCTTCCCCCGATTCTTTTCCGTTTCGCTGCCCGCCACAAAAGTCCGGTATTGATCTCTCAGTGCCCCACCTCGCCTCGCACACGCGCTCGCGTTCGCCTGCCACTTCGCCTCCCCTTTAGTAGAGCCTGATGTCTCTCTTCTCTGCTGCTCGCATCCGCACTCCCCTCGCTTCTCCCCATTCCCCGCTCGTCCCGTTTTCAACGCCACTCTTTACCCCCAATCTTCTCTCCTCACCCTTCCCCCCTCCCTCCCCCTTCCCCTCACCCCCCTTTCCCCTCTTCCCCCCTTCCCCCTTTCTGCTCCAGATGGAGCCGGATGTGATTGCAGCGGGGTTGTTGTCCGACCCAGTGCAGCGCGGCCACGTCACCTTGCCGCTCGTGCACGCGCACGTGTCCCCCGCCGTGGCGCGCCTGCTGCATGACTGCGCGCGCCTGCACCGCCTGCCCAAGCGCGTGCGCGCGCTGGACGACGACACCGCCGCCGCCGCGCGCCAGTTCGCGCTCGCCTTCCACGACCCGCGCGCCGTCGTGCTGCAGATCGCCGCAAAGCTCGACGCCATGCAGCACCTCTCCGCGCCGCTTGCGCCACCCTCCCCGCCCCTCTCCCCCTCCGCCTCGACCTCCCCCGCGCCTTCCCCTGCGCCCCCCCCAAAGGCGACCCCGCGTCAGCAGACGGAGGCCCTAGAGGCGATCCAGGTGTGGGCCCCACTCGCGCACACGCTCGGCATCGGCGCGCTGACGTGGCAGATGGAGGACGCTGCGCTCCGCCACCTGTTCCCGCGGTCATACATGTCCATCCAGGCGTGGGTGGCGGCGCAGTGGCCGGGCGGCGGGGAGAGGCTGGTGGGGGAGGTGCGGAGGCGGGTGGAGGAGGTGTTGGCGGGGGACGCGCAGCTGCGGGGCGCGGTGGGCGGGTGGGTGGTGAGCGGGCGCGTGAAGAGCATGTGGAGCGTGATGAAGAAAGTGCTCCGCGACGGCCGCCCCCGCACTCGCGTCAACGACCTCTTCGGCCTCCGCATCGTGATCTCCCCCCGCGCGCGCGCTGGTGGCGTGGAAGGGGAGAACGCGAGGGAGGCGGGCGGGGCGAGGGGAGCTGCGGGGGAAGGGAGTCCGCTGGGGGAGGGGGAGGCGGCGGAGGCGTGTTACCGGGTGCGGGAGCTGCTGTTGCAAGAGTGGCGGGAGGACGCGGCGCGCATGAAGGATTACATCGCGCGCCCCAAGGGCAACGGCTACCAGAGCCTGCACATGGCGCTCAAACTGCCCTTCAGAGGCGCGCTCGCAGAGGAGGAAGCCGAGGCGCGCAGAGGGGAGGAAGGGGAGGGGGGAGGCGAGGGGGAGGAGCGGGTGGTGGAGGTGCAGATCCGCACAGCGCGCATGGAGGAGGAGGCGGTGAGGGGCGGGGCGGCGCACGGGCTGTACAAGGGCGGGAGTAGAGTGAGCCAGGACCAGGTACGCCCTGCCCTGCCTTGCCCTGCAGAGCTGAGACTGCCCTTGCGCATCCCCTTGCTCTTCCCCCCGTATTCCCCTCCACTCCCCTCCCCTCCCCTCCCCCCCCTCCTCCCACCCCTCCCTGATCCTCAGTCTCTCGTCCCCCCTTCTTTCGAGCTTCCAGGTCCGATCCTTTTACACTGCAATGGTCTTCCAAAGTGCCTGCCTGTGCTCTCCTCCCCTCACCCTTCACCCATCCAAACTCCTCTCGTTCGTCCTGTCGTTCCTTCGTCTCAGTCTACCCTCCCATTCCCCCCCTCGCCCCCCTTCCCCGCTCCTTCCCCGGCTCCCTCACGCTCTCTCCCCCCTTCCCCTGCGCGGAGCGCAGATGCAGCAGCTGAAGGGGGTGATGGAGCTGCTGGCGGCGGCAGCGGCGGGCAGCAGGGCGGACCTCGGTCTGGGCCCGCGCTTCCCCATGGCGCAGCTCGCGCAGGGCGCCGCCCTTGACGCTGACGTGGCCGCTGACGTGTCTGACGCCGTTGCTGCGGCGGCGGGGGTAGGCAGAGAGCGGCCGAGCTGGAGCAGGGGAGGCGAGAGTGAGGAGGTCGGGAGATCGGAGTGGGATGCAGTGCGGTTGAGAGAGCTGGAAGGGAGGCAGGGCGACGGGGAACTAGAGCAGGGGAGTAAAGGGCAGGAGAGTACTGGAAAGGCGAATCAGGACACGGAGGTTAAGCAGGGGGGCGGGAAGGGGCAGGAGGAGGACGAGAAAAAGGAAGCGGAAGAGAACAAGGAGAACGAGGAGGAGGAGGAGGAGGAGGAGGACCATGACCATTTCTTTGCAATGCTGGATCTGAACGGCGACGGGGTGATCAGTGTGGAGGAGATGAGCCAGTTCATGCAGCAGCTGGGCGCGGGGGACGACATCAGTCAGCTCTCCGGCATGGCAAGTCCTGCAGGGGGGGATGGCGAGGGCGGGGCGGGCGGGCGGGAGGCGGCGGAGGAGCTAGTGGCGCTGCTGGACGCGAACATGGATGGCAGCATCTGCGCCAAGGAGTTCGCTGCGTTCAGACGCCAGGTGTGTGTGATGGGGCTGGCTCATGTGTGCTCTGCGGCGCTGTGTGCAAGAGAGACTTGAGTGTATGTAGTGTGTGTTTCTGTGTGCTCACGGGTGTGTGCATGTCGCTTATGCATGAGTGGGGAATGTGTGGTGCATTCCTGTGTGTGGTGGAAGCACTCCCTCACTCCCGCCCTCCCTCCCGCGCTCATTCCCGCCCACACTCCTGCTCGTACTCCCGCTCTTACTCCCGCCCTCACTCCCGCTCTCTCTCCTCTCTGTCCCACCGTTGCCCTACTCAGGTGCGTGCACTGCACAGCCTAAGGGAGGCTGACCGCCAGTCCCAGGAGCAAACGTCACAAGCGCTCCTATCCAAGCCATTCGCCCCCGCCCGCACCACTGCGGCGCTCGACAGCAGCAGCAGCAGCAGCAGCACTACTGGCAGTTCACAATCACAGCAGCTCAGGAGCTCCAGCCAGTTTCAGAGCAATGGCGCTGCTGCTGCTGCGGCTGCTGTTGCTACTGCTAACACTGAGGACGTGGATGGGTTGGGCGGACATGGGGGTGCAGGGGACGGGCGTGGCAGGGATGGGTGGGATAGCCGTGCGATGGGGGTGACAGGGGAGCGGTTTGAGGGAGGAGGGGGCGGAGGGTGGGGTGAGGGCAGTGACGAGGAGAGAGAGGATGTTGAAGGCAGGAGCAATAGCAGTGGCAGCAGTCCGGTCGATGGTGCTAGCAAGGCAGGTGCTGAGGGCAATATTTCAGATTCCCCTGACTCCCCCGAGTCCCCCGCGACTCCCCCGTCTTCATGGGATGACAGTGTGGACTCTGATTGGGAGGTCGTTGTTCCCTCCCGCAGCCCCTCCCCCTCCCCCCCCGCCTCCCCCACCGCCCAGTACTTTGACTCGTTCCAAGCGCCCTGGCCCGAGGGGAACGCGGACGGCGCGGGGGAGGAAGAGGTGCTTGGGGGGGACAGGAGAGGCGCGGGCAAGCAGGGGAATTTGGTGAGGCTGAGCCTTGTGCGCCCAGATGGGGCTGGTCGAGGGGGGACGGCAGGGGGGCAGCAGCAGAGGGGCGCGGAGAGGGGAGGGGACGGCAGCAGGGGAAGGCAGGGGGGGGTTGGGCAGGCGAGGGGTAGGGCTAGGTTGCAAGGGAGGCAGGTGCGAGTGCAAGGGGGAGTGATGAAGAGCACGTGGGGAGAGGGAGGGGGTGTGGGGAAGGTTGGGCGCGTGCGGATGGTGCAAGTGACCCGGTGGGGACAGAGGGACGCAGGAGAGTGGTTGCGGTGGGGGACCGGGAAACAAGCGGGCGGGTGGGAGGGGGAGTGGGAGAGGGAGGGAGAGGGAAAAGGACCAGGAGCGTTGGAGGAAGGGGAGGGGGAGGAGGAGATGGCAGCGGTGGAGGGGGTGTTGAAGGTGGTGAGGCGGCACATGGCGAGCAGGTCCGGGGCAGGGCTCACAGCAGCCCGGAATATGATGGACGAGGTGGGTGAACATGGGCGGGCAGGGGCAGGCATGGGTGGGCGAGCAGGGCAGGGGCAGGCATGGGCGCGCAGGACGGGGCATCAACCACACTCGAATCCACCTTTTCAGACACCAGCGTCCCGCTTGCTGCTACTATAGAGCGACAGTACTGCTTCTCCCCTCTCTCCTCCGTCGTCCCTCTCCTCCCACTCGTCTTCCTCTCATTGTCACTCACACCCTCCGCCTCTCCCCGCTTGCGCCATGTTTCCCCTCTGTCGTTCCCCCTGTGGGCAGCTGTTGGCGTGCCATCCCAGCAACGCCAACGTGCTTGTGCACATGGCTCAGCTCGAGAGACATGCAGGTGCGCTGCTTGCCCTCTGTGTCCGTAGTCCTGCATGTCGTGCATGCACACCAATGCTTGTGCTGTATGCAGTGGTAGCATGCACGCGGTATTTATGCATGCATGTGGTACGCTAATAATTCTCGTGAGGTTCACTAACAAACCAGGCCACGCACAAACAAGCTCATGCTCCACCCACCCTGTCCCTTTTCCCACACTCCACCCTTCTCCCTCTCCACGCCCCGCTTTCCTCCCCGCCCTCCGCCATCCTTCCATGCCTCCTTGGCCCGCGTCCGCCCATGGCAGGCAACACGGGGGCGGCGAGGCAGTGGTACGAGCGCAGTGCGCACTGCTTTGAAGCGAGGGGGCACCTGGGGAGGCAGTACGTGCGCGCGCTGCAGGCGTGGGGCATGCTGGAGGCCCTGGATGGCCGCATTGCTGCCAGCCGCCGCCTCTTTGAGCACTCGCTGCAAGTCGCCTGGAAGGTACTGCGCTCTTTGCTTGCACCATGGTCGCTTAAGGTCCCTTTGCCTGCCTGCTGTTGTGAGTATCATCACCATGGTGGGTGAAATGTGTCGGCGGAGCGGTGTGCAGTGACTGGTGACTTCAAATTATGGCCTTCAGGGTCTGCATGTATGCGATATAATACGCACTTCACCCCCTAAAATGCACCTCACACTTAAAAAGCCCTAGCTTTCTTCCCTTCCCGCATCCTTTTCTTCCTCACCCTCGTCATCTCTTGCAGGCGGAGAGGCGGTCAGGGCAGCAGCAGGTGGGGGCGGTGGTGGTGGGGCTGCACGCATGGGCCATGGTGGAGCGGCGAGTGGGCAACTTCACAGCAGCGCGCCACCTGCTGCAGCGCGCCGAGCGCGTGGAGCCAGGCAACGCCGTGGTGCTGCAGGCACGTGCTCTGCTGGAGGCGGCTGTGGGGCACCTCTCTGCTGCAAGGCACTTCTTCAAACGCGCTGCTGCTGCTGACCCTGCCGATGCTGCCTGCTGGCAGGTGCGCCCTTTCCTCGTACTGTCTCTCTTGCTCTGTGCTTTGTAGAGGCTTGATATGTTGGTATCATAATCAAGGGTACCTCAATAGCTCTCCTGTTTTGCAATGTTTAACATCTCCAGTGCTCCGACTCTCCTCCATCGCTCGTTCACTTTTCTTTCCTTCTCAGTGCCTTCAGCTTTTCTGTATCCGTTTACCACTGCCCTGCTGTGAACATGTTTGGTGGGGCGGGGGGTGTGGTGTGGCAGGCATGGGCGGTGACAGAGGCGCGGGCAGGGCGTGTGGATCGCATGAGAGACCTCTTCACTGCTGCTCTCTCCGTGCACCCCTCCTCACTGCCCACACTGCACGTGCGTTCACGTCCACATTTCCACGCTTGCGAGCAAACAGGTTTAACGCATCTGATGCCATGTCTTTTGCTGGCCATCCCATGCTTAGACTGTTCTGTTTGTGGCCCTTCCACCTTCACCTTTCTTATCCTCCCCCCTAAAGCCCTCATGCGATGTGCCCGCCTTCCCCCTCCTCTCCCCTCTCTCCTCCCTTCACCGTACCGTGGTATGTCTCAACGCCAGGCATGGGCATGTGAGGAGGCTCGGTTAGGGTCGGCCCAACCCCAGTCATTGCAGCGAGCGCGAGACCTCTTCACACGCTGCCTCAACGTTGACCCGGAATGCTCATACGCACTGCAGGTCGCACCCCAGTCCCCTGCCCTGCTACCCCTCTCGCACACGCCTTCCTAGCTCTGTCGAATGTGGATGAATGTGAATGCTTGTGAGTGGCATGTGCATGCAGTTCTTTCCTCATAGCCCTCTCATGCATGTTCTCGCAGTTAGTCCACCACCTCTGTTCCATCCATAAACCCACTCCTCTCATCTCACATCAGCTTTCGTGCTCCTCCGCACCTCGCTCACTCTCCAGCTTCCCACATCCTGCCTTCTCACCCCGGTTTCCCCCTCTCCTCCCCCTCTCTCTTCCCCCTCCTTTCCGTTGCTGACTTGCCTCTCCCCCGTACCCTTTCTCGGCATCACAGTCATGGGCAGTGATGGAACAGAGGGCGGGCAATGTGGCGCAGGCGCGCACGCTCTTTGACCGCTGCCTGCAGATAGCACCCTCCTCCGTGCCCGCACTCCAGGTGCGTCTCTGCTCTGCTCCTCTCTCACACTGCCTCCTCCGCCTTTCCACTGTCCGCCTCATGCCTGCGCATCTTCCGTCAATTATCGACTCCCCTCCTACTCTTCACCACATTCCCTGGTTCTGTCGGTCACTCAGTATACCCCTCCTCATGGCAGCATCCCCCAGTGTGTCCACTCCTCTCCCTCCTGTTTCTTCTCACTCTCCATCTCTCCCTCCTCTCCCTCTATATCGCCCCCTGCACGCACCATCATCCCTCCCAGGCATATGCAGTGATGGAGCGGAAGCAGGGCAATGCTCTCAAGGCCCGTGCACTGCTGGCGCTCGCCCTCTCACTGCAGCCCAACAATGCTGCTGTGCTGCAGGTATGCTGTGCTGCTCTGGCTGCTGGAGACACACCAGACAATGCTGCTCCCATTCTGCGAATGCATCTTTAATTCATGCTTGCGGATGCAATCGTATTGCCCGGTACCCAGCCCCTCCCTTGTATGCATGCACTGCCCTCAGCTGAGCACCCTCGTATAAAAAGTTGGCACGACCTGCACGCCCACTCTACTTTTGTCTATCCTCTGCTCCATGTCATCTGTTACCAGCACGGTTTACCCCAAGCTACTCACCATCCTCCCGCTCCCCTCCCTTCTTCCCCTCATCCGTGGCATGATGTGCATGCAGGTGGCAGCGGAGTTGGAGCAGCAGCTGGGCAATGAGGCAGCAGCACAGGCGCTGTACGTGCGCACCAACCGTGCGGACCGCAGCGCAGCCAGGAGGCGGCGGCGCATGTTCGAGTCGTACCGGGACATGCGGCGGGAGGTGCAGGGCGCAGAGGAGGCACGCGAGTGGATGCTCAAGAGGCAGGCCAAGCGCCTGCGGCGCAAGCTGCGGCAGAAGCAGCAGCGCAAGCAGGAGCAGCAGCAGCAGCAGCAGAGTGAGCAGCATGCAGTGGTACTGGAGCAGGCAGGGGATGGAGGGGATGCAGAAAGCAGCCATGAACAATGGAGGTGAAACACGGGACAGGGCAGGGACGTGTCAGGAGGGGGGAGAAGCTGCTTACAGAATGGGAGGGGTTAGGTAGGTGCGTGACAGCAGGTTCAGATGAGAAAACAAAGCATGGCATGGGTATACATGAGATAAACGCTCTGTAGCTCTATGCTGTAGATTGAGTATGCCCTTGAGAGATACTGTAGTGTAGGCTACTTTCTCTGCACGGTCTATTTATGCGTTTTGCATGTGTTTCAACCTTGGGAGAGATTGAAAGAGGATTGCTTGCGAGCGATTACTGTATCTAGCTAGGAAAGGACCATGTTGCTTTGCAGTGGAAATCTCTGAAAGTGAATAATATTGACACTGGAATGGATCGGTGTCACTCCAACCATAGCCTTGCAAAGCCACCAATGTAATGCTTGAAATAGGCTTCAGCCCTCCCGTCCCGGGTCAACCCGGACGAGCCCCAATATCAAGGATGGTATGGTCGTGTCGATATGAATCACAAGCGGTTACCTACTTCAATACGGTAACGTGGATGCTTGATGGTTGATGTACTGTCAAACGGTAGGGTAAATCGAATCCTGGTTAACACCCGTGGTAATGATTGACATGGCATGTAAAGTTACAGCATAGTACGGTACGGTATGTCTAATACCAGTAATACCGTACCGGTAATACGCATGTTAGTTTAACATGCACAAACTAATACAGTATCCTAGCCATCCGCATGCATTTGCAGATTAAATCTGTATGATCAGGAATACACAACACACGTTTTGCAAGATGCTTGTTTACGCAGTTGCAGTATCAGAAGGTCCAGATGTGCTTGTATCGCACGGTGAGCCCTGCAGTTAAGCACCAGAAGATGCAGCCCAGGACGGTAGCTGCAGCAGTGGCAAGAGTCTCGTTACCCAGTGCACCAACAAGAAATGCGTATGGCAGCGAGAGCTGCCACGGAATTGGGGTTGGGTTGGGGTTGAAGGGAGGTTATGAAGGAGCACAGGCAGGAGCAAGATTGGAGTCGACTCAAAACATCACTGCCGAATGCACCAACCAGGAATGCATATGGCAGTGACGGCTTCCAGGGGGTTGGGGTTGGTGGAATTTCATGAAGGAGCACAGGAAAGAACAGGTATAAACATGATGGGAGTAGGGATGGAGTAGGAGGGAGGCAGCAAGGAGTGCTGATGCAAACGGCTCGCTACTGCGAGCGCCCAGTCCTCAGATGCAGGACAAGCAAACTGGCAAGGTTGCTGTGGAATCTGAATCTACTAGCACTTAACAGTGGTGATTGGCAGGTGGTAGGTGGCAGGTGGCAGGTGGCAGAGGACAGCGGGAAGGGGGCAGGTGGCCTAGCAGAATACACGAAGCAGCCAACACACCAGCGCCATATCCCATGTCCCTCGTTCAGATTTCCCACACAGCCGAGGCGTGCACCAGGTTGCTGGCAGGGTCGTTGTTAACGTAGAAGCCAGCGAGCAGCAGGTCCAGCAGGCGGCACACACCCAGCAGGAAACACGAAGCACACAACACACCAGCGCCATTGCCATTCCACTTATCCCATGTCCCTCATTCCAATTCCCCCACACAGGCTAGGCACGCACCAGGTTACTGGCAGGGTCGTTGTTGACATAGAAGCCTGCGAGCAGCAGATCCAGCAGGCGGCACACACCCAGCACGAGCACAAAGAGAGGGTTTCGCCCCAGCCATGCTATGGGCGCGAGGAATGGGCGCGCGGACATGTATACGTCAGTCTGTGGTGAGGGGGTAGCAGGCGTTTGAGTAGTGAAAGGATGTAGACAATTCATGGGTGGCATGTTGATAGATGTGCTTTCTCGGGAAGAGAGAGATGGGAGGGGGGTGAAGATGCTGAGAGGCATGTCAGAGATGTGGAAATCATGGGACAGGTTCCGAAGATGAGGAGAGATGTGAGAAGGCAAGCCACAGTGCATGGAGTGAGATTAGAAGAGATCATACGAGGATGAAGAAGCAGGAGAAGAGGAAGCAGGAAACTGCAGCAGCAACTGCTGCAAAGCTGATGGTGAAGAGCTGCGGATTGAAAGGCATGCCTGCATAAAAAGGGTGGTGTGGCGACGAGTTGAGGTGGGGGGAGGTGAGGTGAGGTGGGAGGAGGAAAGGGGAGGTAAGGCGAGGTGAGGTGAGACAGGTGAATTAGTCGGGAAACACGCGAGCGGTGACAGGGATAAGAACTTCATGCCAAAGAGAGAAAAGTGGGTGAGAAGCGGCAGTGGCAGGAGGTGGAGAAAGAGAGAAAGATTGAGAGAACGACATGGGAGGACAGGGATGTACCTGAGAGTATGGATTCCGGCAGGAATGAGGGCAGGGAAGAGTGGCGCAGGGGCATTGGCATGCTCAGCGTGACTCCTGTGGCGAGCAGCACGGCTGCGAAGAGCAGCGAGCGGAAGATACGCCAGGAGTGAGTCTGAGCGGCAGAGAGGCGGCAGGTGGAGGGAGGAATAGGAAATGAAGGAGACAGGAAGGAGGACGAAGTTGGGACGCAAGGGGGAGGAAGGACAGAGAATGGAAAGCAGGGGGAGGAGGAAAGGAGTGCAACAGATATTCACCCTCAGTGGGAAATGTGGTGAACAGTCCAATGCATGTGTACAAAAAACTTGGTGTGTGTGCGTGGAGTGCAGTGTGCATGCATGGGGAGCGCATGAGAAGAGGTGTGCACGGAGGGAAGAGAGCGCTGACATTGAAGTAGGTGAGGAGGTGGCCGTGGTGCAGCCCTGCAAAGGCCACCAGACACGCCCCCACCGTGCTGCACACACGGGGCAGGGTAGAGACGGGTGAGATGCGCAAGGCACATGCACCTGGACACATGAACCTGGGCAGATGTACCTGGGCAGATGTACCTGGGCAGATGTACCTGAGAATCCCTTGGGGGTCGAAGGGTGCTTGGCACCACGCAGGGGGGGGCGGCGACGTGCTTTGGCACTCCTGTGATGGCACGGAGAGAGGGAGGAAGGGAAGGGAGTCGGGAGACGGAAAAGGAGCGAAGGGAGAGGAGAAAAGGAGGAAGGGGGAATGAGGAACGGGAGACAGAGGAGGGAAACTAATGGGCGTGTGAGGCATGGCGTGGATAAATGGTTCATGAAAGGACTTGTGAGAGCAGGAAATGGGAAGAGTGAGATGAGAGGAATGAGAGGCACTGACAGGGAGCGAGTGGAAGGGCGCCGTGGAAAGCATGTGGGTGGGGCCCATGAGCACTCGGTCAATGTACCCTGCTGCATTGCAGTCCGGAGCGAAACTGCCCCTCACACCGCACTGCACATGGTGATGGGGTGGATGGGGGAGAGAGGGGGAGGGGAAGGGAGAAGAGCGGGAAGAGTGGGAACGTGAGAAAGTGGGGGAGGAACGAGCAGAGCGAGAGGAGAATAGACATCTAACGAAGGGCATGAAGAGCATACCTGCAGAAAGCAAGAGTTACAGGAACCATCAGAGCAACAGGTTCAATGGCAACTCTGCAAATCCATCCACTGTGAATGCCGCCACTCACATGCACAGCCAAGCTACCACCACCATCCTCCGTGCCACCCTGCAACGCTCTCCGCTGCCCCCCTGCACCTTCCCACGGACCATCCTGATGCAGCGCCGCGAGATGTGACGAGGGGGTGGTTGTTGCGATGGCAGTGGTGACGGTGGTGGTGTTGCTGTGGATACTTGTGGTGGTGGAGACCGTGTAGGAGGGCACGAAGAGGAGGTAGGAGAGGGACGCGTATAGCAGCACCAGCAGCAGCGCCACACACCTGAGGGGAGGGGAGGGGGATGGGAGCCGTAAGGACGGAAGAAAATGGTCGAGTGAGAGAATGGGGGCCGGTGGTGGAAAGGGGAGAGGAGCATGGGGAGAGCAGCTGCCCGCTCATACGCTGCACCGCACACTCATACGCTGCACCGCCCGCTCATACGCTGCACCGCCCGCTCATACGCTGCACCGCCCGCTCATACGCTGCACTGCCCGCTCATACGCTGCACCGCCCGCTCATACGCTGCACCGCACGCTCATACGCTGCACCGCCCGCTCACACGCTGCACCGCCCGCTCATACGCTGCACCGCCCGCACATACGCTGCACCGCACGCTCATACGCTGCACGGCCCGCTCATACGCTGCACTGCCCGCTCATACGCTGCACGGCCCGCTCATACGCTGCACCGCACGCTCATACCCTGCACCGCACGCTCATACGCTGCACCGCCCGCTCATACGCTGCACCGCCCGCTCATACGCTGCACCGCACGCTCATACGCTGCACCGCCCGCTCATACGCTGCACCGCCCGCTCATACGCTGCACCGCCCGCTCATACGCTGCACCGCCCGCTCATACGCTGCACCGCCCGCTCATACGCTGCATGGCCCGCTCATACGCTGCACTGCCCGCTCATACGCTGCACGGCCCGCTCATACGCTGCACCGCACACTCATACGCTGCACCGCACGCTCATACGCTGCACCGCCCGCTCATACGCTGCACCGCCCGCTCATACGCTGCACCGCACGCTCATACGCTGCACTGCCCGCTCATACGCTGCACCACCCGCTCACACGCTGCACCGCCCGCTCATACGCTGCACCGCCCGCTCATACGCTGCACCGCCCGCTCATACGCTGCACCGCCCGCTCATACGCTGCACCGCCCGCTCATATGCTGCACCGCCCGCTCATACGCTGCACCGCCCGCTCATACGCTGCACCATTATTCCCCGATGGTGAGAAGGGTGCAGCTAAGGCCGCGGCAGTGAAGGGTGGCAAGCAGGGCTGTGGTAGCAGCGAGGGCAGCAAACAGGCGAGGCCAGGGCGTGGGCACGTACCAGTTGATAAGGAAGCCAAGTGCATGGTGGTGCACGCCTGGTGGTCGCCGCGCCCCTCGATATAGCTTCATCACTGCTACCTCCGACACCCCCACCACCAGCAACGCTGCTGCCACTTGCTGCACACGGGTGCGCAGGCATGCGAAGAGGTGACAGGTGAGGAAATGGAGTGATGAGATAGGCATGCGAAGTTGCATGGAAACATGGAAGGCTGTTAAAGAGTTGCGAGAAGAGGAGATATGGTTGGGGCATGGACCCATGCATCCATGCACACCCATGCATTCATGCATGCACCCCAGCACCCATGCACCCACATAGCCATGCACCCATGCACGGACATCACCTGCAGCATGCCACAGAAGCGGGTGTTCTCAAGAGAGACACCAAAGGTGGTGTCACCGATGGGGTGCAGGAAGCCCCCTTGGAGGAAGTATCCGAGGTAGAAGATCTTGCAGAATCGGATATACACCTTGTTGCTCGCTGCCAGCACGCTGGGTACTTGCTGTGATGGCGGGGGAGGGAGGAGAGGGGAGGGTAGGAGAGAGAGTTAGACGAAAAGGCTTGCGTATGGAGAAGATAAGGCATTGATCGGAAGACATGAAGTTTGGAAGTGTGAGGATACGGCAGCACGTGTGTGGAATGCGAGGACAGAGGGCAGAAGAATTGCTTTCAAGCAGGTACAGTGCATAACACGTCACCCACGGTGTAAGCGAGGGCGAGGGAGAGTCCAACGGTGTAGAGCAGCAGAGGCAGCGGCAGGTCTGCTAGTGAAAACCCGTGCCAGGGCGAGGGAGCAAAGGCAGGAAAGGACGGGCCCAGATATGCACAGAGCAACAGGCCCTGGGTGGGGAGGTGTGGAATGGGTGGGAAGCATGGGGGTAGCGAGGAGAGGGGATTGGGCAATGGGGAATGAAGGGAAGTGGCACGGGGGACACTGAAAAGGCGACGGGGGAGAAGAGAAGGCATGGGCAAGTACTGAGAATAATCCACGCTTTTGATGAATGTATGCAGCAGGACGGCGGGGATTGCGAGGCACAGCAGCGAGTGCAGTGCAGGTGGTGGCACAGTATGGTACCAGGATGGTGAGACCGGGACAAGGCACAGCGAGCGGGAAGGTGGTACGATACCAGGATGGCTAGCCCGCGTGTGACGTGCAGGGAGAAGAGGTGCAGGTCGGTGTTGTCGTCTGTGTGCAGTACAGAGTACGCCCCCATCATCTCGCCCCACCCCACTGCCGCCGCCCACCGCTGCAACTCGTTCTGCTCCTGCTCCTCCTGCTGCTCCTGCTGCTGCTGTTGCTCCGCCTGCTGTGCCTCTGAAGGGAGCGTGGCGCCTGGTGTTGGAATGGGGGATAATGACCAGTGGCATGCCGAGGCAACGAGTGTCATACTGAGGAACACAGGGGCTCAAACAAGCAGCAAGGAACAGCACAGCATGGCGCAGGAAGGAGATCCGTACAGCAAAGAAAGTCCCTGTGGTGATGCGTGGGATGGCTTGGAGAAGCTGTCTCAAAAGCCCACCAGCTGAAAATGGAAAAGGTAACACAACAAGGGGTGCGTGCGGCCCGGCCACAGGTCGCCTGACACTGCAGCAATACATGTTGGGAGCAGAGCAGCTCACCTTGCAGCAGAGGCTGTCGCAGTGAGTCTTGTGCTTCTGGATCCATGTCCGCTCCTACACCATCACTGCTGCCCGCACCAGCTCCACCAGCGGCGCCCGCAGCAGCAGCATCGGCAGCAGCAGCCGCATCAGCAGTGCGAGCAGCACGTGGTGAGATAGCTGGCTGTGCGGAGGGCACAGCGAGAACCACGTGGTCAGAAGAGTGCGTGGTAGACCCTGTAGCAGCAGAGGAAGCAGCAGCAGCGGTAGGAACGGTGGCGATAGCAGCGGTGGGGCCAGTGGTAGGAGCAGTGGTGGGAGCAGTGGTGGGAGCAGCGGTAGGAGCATTTGTAGGGGTGGCTACACTTTCATGAGTGGAGGAACAGGTTGAGGAGTCGGGGAGAGAGGAGGAGGGGAGAGAGGAGGAGAGGGGAGCAGAGGAAGGGAGAGTGGAGGAAGCGAGAGAGAAGGAGGGGGGAGGGGCAGTGCCTGGGAGGGACCAGCGGAGAGGCGACTGGCGGGCCGCAGATGGGGGAGGGGCGTCTGCAGCTGCTGCAGGGGACGAGGAATGGGGGGTGGAGGGAACGAGGAGCGGTAAGGATGGGGATCAGTGTGGTTGACGAGCATGACATGCGGGGAGTCCCATGGACGAGAGCACATACGGGCGAGACGGGAGAGAGGGGCAGTAAAGGGAAACGAGGGATGGCAAGGGAAAACGGCATATGAACAACGGGAGACATGCGGGTGGGAAAGATGAGAGGGATGAAGCAGAGGGGGATGGACAGGAATTAACTTTTGGGCGGCGGGATGGTGTGGGCATTGTCTGTGTCTCCGCCTCCCTTCTTCGCCTCTTGCTTCTCGTCCTCCCCCACACTGACTGGTGCTGCTGCTGCTGGTGGCGGGTCAGTGGTCGCTGCGCCTGCTGCCACGTGCTCGGCTGCAGGGGTCGCTTCTAGAATGCCATTCTGACACATGCATGCGTACCCACATGCACACATGCCCACATGCACACATGCCCAAATGCACACATCCCATGCACACACACATGCCCAGATGCACACATGCAGACATACGCACATGCATAAATGCATCCCTCACAAACAAATTCACCAACAGAAAGTAATGTATTACATGTAAATTTCCGTGCATCCAACCAGGCAAACGTGAGGCGGCGAGGTGGAAGGACGGGTGGGTGGTCGGTGGGTGCATGGATGGGTGCGAGGGTGTGTACGCGGGTCTGTGTGTTGCTGTGCGGGGGGGAGATAGTAGAAAGAAAGCTACCTGAATAGGGGAAGGGTCGCTCTTCTCAGCACCTTCCGCCGGCGCCGCTGCAGGCGCATTGGGTGGGGGCGCAGGGTCCCGCGCGGGAGGATTGGCGCGGGCAGGAACTGACCACCAGCTGAGCCGCGGAGATGTTAGCCCGTATGGCGAAGAGGAATAGGGAAGGGGGGGGAACAAGGGGGAGCGGGGGTGAGGGGAAGAGGGATGGGCGGGAAGATGGAGCGCCGAGTAACGAAGGAGACTAACGCAGGGATTTCCTGTCGAGGCCCTTTCAGTGACTTCATCTTTAACAACGTAGTATTGATGTGGCTTCGAGACAGGAAGAGACTAAAGGAGAGGATGCGATGCACATGGGATACGGCGCGCATGTGGGATACGGCGCGCATGTGGGATAAGGCGCGCATGTGGGATACGGCGCGCATGTGGGATACGGCGCGCATGTGGGAGACGACGCGCATGGCGCGGTAAGTCCCATCGTCGCCTTTCTTTGGCAGCTCACCTTAACATAGCGGCCGGTGGGGCGAGCTACGCGTATTAGTAGAGTTGGGTACAGACTAACTACGCGTGCCGCGTCCGAGTCACGGCGAAGCTAGCGAGAAGCGCATGAATCTGTACAGCCACTCAGGTGGACGGTAGCAGCAGCCCCAACGGACGAATGTAGCAGCAGCAAGCACGAAGACGAAAATGTCCAACCAGCATTTCCCTGCAAACGTGTTGTGTTGTCAATACGTGCATGAATTGTGGGGGGAGAGGGGAAATTTGTGCCTTGAGTTGGTTGGGGGGAGCAACAGAGATAGACTTGTTTTTTGGGTGGATGGATGGGCCTCATGATTCAAATGACAGTGGCTTCAATCCTGTGTGATTTCATTTTCCACCCTCTCCGACTTCTCTCTATGTGAATCATGGCGAGATTGAGATAATCCAACAGAGGCACAGATAGTGCCCACGAACTTCGAGAGTTTACTTTTATGAACTAAATTTGCGAAGTAGACTCTGCCCGCACCCTCCTCCGCGCACCTGCCCCTGCGCGCCAGTAGGTCCGCGCAATCGCCCCGAAAGTTGGGGAAGAGCCACCAGTGAGGTTCCTCCCGATGGCCTGGCACAAGCTCAAATCCCAAGACCTGCCTGTGATTCGCCAGAAAGTGAAGACTGGAGGGACGTCGTCCAGTGTGACAGCCCCGTTTCCCGAACCGAAAAAAGGAAAACCAAACAAGGCCGGTTTGATAACACAAGCTCTCTTGTATAATTATTGTCTGTTTATGAAATTGCATAGCCCAGTAATATTGGAGAAGTTAGGCAGACCAGAGGTTGGCCTAGATGTCAATCAATCAAGGAACAGTTAGCAAACCCTGGCTATAATAATTCTTAAAACCTTTTTCATCCAGCTGGAGTCATTTAAGCATCTCCACCTGCAAGGCTGCTTCTCCCATCATCTTCCGCCATCCCTGCGCCACTCACAATGCCCATAAGAAACCTCTCTAGTTCTGTGTCCACACCACCTTCCACCTCCACGCTACCCTCCCTATCTCTGCCCACCTGTCCTCCACCTTCCATCTGCCCTCCCTCCCACATTGCAGCATCCAAGTCAGAACCAGCAGACTCTGACCACGCAGCTGATACAGTATCCTGAAACGAGCCGCTTCTACGAGTCTGCTGGGCCTGTTGTGCCATGGCCACTGGGGCGTAATATGCAGGAAACCCAATCCCTGTTCCTGCCCCCTGCGGCCCACTAGCATGCTCACTTCCACCTATGACTGCCGTCCTCGCAGCACCTCCTGCCTGAGACCCCTCTCTTCCCAATTCTTGTCCTCGCACTTCCCAACGCATCTCACTCACACCCAGCGCCACCTGTCCCTGACCCCCCCACCTCTCCTGACCCTCCCCCAATTGCTCCGCCTCCACCATCATGCCCCCTCCTGCGCCATTCCCCCCCGCAGGCGTCTCTACAGCTGCGCCACCCCCTCCCCTGGCTGTCCTCTCCGCCGCTCTCAGACTCTCCAGCAAGTCAGCAGCTTCGCGGCTGCCAGAGCCCACCCCTCCGCCCCCGCCGCTTCCCATCGTTTGGGGGCCTGCGCCCGTTGCTGCCCTTGCGCCCATTGCGCCAATCAGAAGGTCCATGTCTCGCTGGGAGCACTGCGTCCCTGTGCCTGCTGCGGCCTGCCTTAGAATCACGGCAGCGGCTGCAGCAGCCACAGCGAGGCTGTGCATGTCCACGGCGCCACTAGCGGAACCAGCAGTGCTGGTCCTCGTGCTGCTTCTAGGAACTAAAACGCTATCCGCAGGCTGCGGCGCAGGGCTTCCGCCCTGGAATGCTTGCTGCCGCGGAGAGCCATACGGCAGAGGCGGAAAATTGGCGGTGGAAGTACCGGTCAAGAGTCCACCGGGCGGCGGATCCCCAGCGTTACCGGGTGTCGCAGAAACGCGTGTTAATGCCTGTATTTGCGACGACAGGCCGATAGTAGGTTCTGACCCCGACGCTGTCGCTGTTACCCCAAGTAATCCACTCCGTCCCGCCGCTATTTGTCCCTCCGCGCCACGTGTCTGAGGCAGCATCATGCCAGGTGGTGATGGTAGCATTTGCGTGTGCTGCGAGTCAGGGCCTCCGCTTGCTGCATCTGCAGCCGCTGATGCCAAGCTAGGTCCTGGCTGCATTTGGTGCGCCTGCGCCTGCTGCTGCTGCTGCTGTGGAGGCACTGGCGGCGGCAGCGGCGGCGAGTGAGTCCGCCGCGAAGTCTGCTGCTGCAGCTGCTGTTGTCGCCTCTGCTGCTGCCGCTGCTGCTGTCTCCGCTGTGTCCTACGAGCCGCCTCGCGGCTCGCCTCGAGCAGAATCTCGGCCGTGCCTCTCGGCAAGGCCACGGGCAGCACCTGCTGCCCGGGGAAATTCAGCCGGGCAGACCGCCCGCGCAAAAGTCGCGCGGCCATGTCGTACACGCGTGCGGCCTCCTCTGCAGTGTCGTACGATCCGAGCCATATGCGTTGGCCCCGTACCGGCTCCCGTATTTCCGTCACCCATCTACCCCAGCGCCGCTGTCGCACTCCGCGGTACGCGGTGGGTCTAGCACCCCCAATCGTAGTGTCGGTAATCTCAGACGTTGTTCCTTCCGCCGCAGCGGATTGTGATGGTTCGGTGGGATCAGGCGGCTCGCGAGAAGGGATGGGCGGTAGTTGATGGTGTGGGTTACTAGCATTGGTTGCATCGGTTGCGTTGGTAGGCTCTGCGTCGGAATCTCCTAGGGAGGGGGAGTTTGCGCTGGGGGATTGCTGACGGCGCGATGACGTGTGCGGTGAGTCGCCGTCTTCACCGCACGGTTGAGCTTCGACCTCTTCCTGCATGACTTATACCACGCAAATCCGCATTTCATGCGGTCCCACGGTTTCCTAAAAAGATGTCATGACTTAGTACCGGGCAATCATTACTCGAGTGCTAACCCACTCGTGGGATGACGGATTCGCTCACGTCCCCGACTGTTAGTATCATGCTCACTGGAAACTTGAATAAAACGCTGAGTACGAAAAGGTTGGAGCACCCAACCTTCGCACGAATGGATATCAGCGCGGTTCACGTGGTGGCAGTCAAGAAGAGTCGGGAGAGTTGAGATGGGAGGGATGTGACGAGGAGTTGGAGCGTGCCGAGTAGAGGTGAGACGTAATGAAAAGGGCTGGATTTGAGGAGGGTTGAACTTATGCGAGGTGAGCTGGGCGGGGCAGCGCAAGAAATCCATTGCCTTGATTGTGGTCCTCCAGGCAAGGTCAAATCGAAACGCAGGCAGCGACTGCGCGACTCGCGTTTACACAGTAGCTTTCCGGAGCCGCTCAATGCCTGTACGACCACCTCCAAATTACAGCTTGTCGGCAGGTGTTGCTGAAATGTTACGCTGGACCAGATCTCCACAGCAGCTTGTAAGTTGTAACTCGGATTGATCTTCCTCGAGCCAAGGTTGGAACTGCTCTTTCGTTTCAAATGTGGATCTTACGACTTGGGTTACAGCTCTTTCGCGTCGCCTAGATGTTCGCATCCAATCCATCTGCGAGGTCGAAATGCTAACGGGCTTCGAAGTACTTTCGTACAGGTCGTCACGAAGGCTGTTGCGACACGTCAACAGCCACACATGTGTCGCCCAGTCTGCCACACTGGCCGCCGGCGACCCTTGTTAGATCGACTGCTTTCCGTCGCTCCCTTTAGCAGATCCTCTCCGCGTCGCTATTTTGCATCAGCCGCTTTCGCCATCCCTCGCAAAGTTGAACTGTCGGTGTCCATCACCCCAACCAACACTCCAAGCCGGAGTCCCGAACCAAACTCAATTCCCTTCTCACCAGAACAGTGTACCACACGTACACTCGCCCACGTCGCATCCATCAGGGCATGGGGCTGGTTGGTTGGTGTTGGGGGTCTGTAACAGTTTTGTTCCGCCGTCGGAATTTCAAGGATTTTCGCTGGCGTCTCGTTATGTCGCAGAACTCGCTCCAGTCACAAGGCAGTAAATACACATCCGAGGAGTCCATAGATTACAACTACTCTTTCTCAACACTGCTGGTTGAAACGGTATCCTCACTCAACATTTCGGCAAACCATATCCGTAACTCAACCAGAAATACCGTATGCAACAGGACATTAGGCAGCTCATTCGAGGAAAGCGCTCATGTTGCATATTCATAATCCGTCCTTTCACACCCGAACGCGACAATACCCATTTGCCCATTTTCTACTCATCTCCTCCACTGTTTCAGATAAACTCACAAGAAACCCTTGCAGTTCACTATACCCGTTGCTGACAGTCACACAGCAGCACCTGCTCCTGCTGAAACTATCGCTGCACCTTCTGCTACCCCCACTCTCTTCTGAAGTTTCTGCACAAGACCTGCTGCAGCCACCACCTGTTCCTCCCTATCCGCAACAAGCTCCAAAAGAGCCTTCTTTATCGCCTCATCCTCCTCCACACTCGGGAAAACCTCCACACTCCTGGAGTTTCCATCCCCAGCAACAACCACCCGGTCCGAACTCACTCTCTCACGCTCACTCTCACCACCTTTCCCTTCCCCTGTTCCGCTGATGATCCTTCCCTTGCCCTCTTCCTTGCCCTCCTCTGGTGCAGCATCAGTCACTGGGACCTGGTACATGACAAACATCTGCTTGTCGTTCTCAAACACAGGCAGATCCACAACCCGCTTCTCCCACCCCCTCCTGCTCCTCCTCTTCTTGCTCCGCCTCTCACCACCACCACCGCCTGCACCCGCCTCCCCGTTCCCCTCCCCCTCGCCGTTCTCCTGCCCTCTCGCTCTCTTCACTCCCCGGTCCCGCCCCCGCCCCTGCGCGCCCTTCACTCCCAGCTCTTCCAGTTTGACTCGGCTGGTAACCAGGCGTTTCCACGCGCGCCGGCCAGCGCTACCCATGGAGGGCAGGTGCAGGAAGAGGAGAACCTCCCAGCACCGCTCCACCTGCTTCCTGTTCAGGTGCAGCTTCTCCCTTGCATCTTCTGCCATGCTGTGGGGCAGCACCAGCAGGGACTCCATTGCTGTTATCTCCTCGCTGCTCTCCTCCTCGTCCTCCTCCCCGCCCTCCTCACCATCCTCGCTGTTTCCTCCGTCCCCACCCTTTGTTCCTCCTGCCTCTGCATCGCTTTTTCTGCCCCCCTCTTGCTTCTTCTCCTCCGAGCCCTGCTCTCCTTCCTTGCACTCCTTCTCCTCCTCTCCCTCACCCCCACCACCACCATCACCGCCAGCACCACCAGCACTATCACCAGCAGCAGGAGGAGCGGCAGTGGTGGGCAAGCGAGCACTAACAAACCCAGTGACTCGCGAAACAGCCGACTGCACGGCAGCAGCAGCAGAAGGCAGGGCGAGCAGGCGCACACAGTCAAGGGCCTCCCTTAGCTGCTGCAGATCGTCAGATGGGTCCTCCACAGTGATGTCATATGCATGCACTCGGCATGCCATGGCGTGCACCTGGTTCAACAGCCGCGACCCGTGCCCCATGGCCTGGTATGGTGGCAGCACTAGGATCTGAGGGGTGGATGCACGGTTGTGGTGTGCAGGCAGGAGGGGGGATGCCAAAACGGGGAGAGGTTTGTGTGGGGGAAGGGAGAGAGGAGGAGGGTAGGGGAAAGGAAGGATTAGGAAATCAGGAGGAAACAAGCAGGCACAGCCATGCTTGGGCCCTCCACTCCTCCACAGCCCTAGAAACATGCTACTTCCTCCCCTGCCCACACCACCAGCAGCAGTACCTGGCTGAGACGAAGCCGCGAGCTGTTGGGGTGGTGGTAGAAGGAGTAGATAGTGCAGAACCCCACCACCACAACCTCGCTCTCTCCCTTCACTGATGCTGCTGCACCCGCCTTTGCATCAGAGGGAGAAGATGCAGCAGCAGCAGTGGCAGAGAGAGGAGGGGAAGAGAAAGGGGCAGTGGGTTGTTGCAGAACGACTGAGAGCGTCCAGAGAGGGTCCGTGCTGTCGATAGGCTGCCCGTCTGGTGGGCATGGCGAGGCGAGCAAGTGGGGAGGGCGGGGGAAGAAGGGGGAGGAGGGTGGGGCGAGCAGGGTGGGCGTGGGGGGGACGTGAGGGGTGATTGGTGAAGGTGGGAGATGCCTGGGGAACGAGGGCGAGAGTAAGAGAACAGGTGACCGCAGCAACACTAATAGGATGAGAAGGGACACAGAGACGAGTGATGCCTGGTATGGTATGCAAAGAGGGCCAGAATAGGCCAAGAACGGATCTTGCAGGCAAGTCCAAACAGAGGTGGGTCGAACGAAGATAAACACGCAGAGGAGGGGATGCATTTAAATGGCATGAGGAATTCTAGTGGACGGACTTGGGATGAGAAGATGAGGATTTATAGAGTAGAAATTGAAAGATGCGGGAGAGGCAAGCAGGCAGGCAGGCAGGTAGGTGGTTAGCGGTTACTGTCAATGAAGAACTTGACGAGAGGCTGCATGCGCGCATGCCAGTCCCGCACACACTGCTGTGATAGGTCCATGGTTACCACCTGCACGCATGGGGGGTGGGGTGTGATGGGATGGGATGACATGGGATGGGATGGGATGGTAGCATGGGTACACACGTTTTACGCACACGGACCGTGTTCCGTCTCTTTGCACAAAAATCCTATCAAAGCATGGAAATACACTCTGTATGCATGCACTGTATAAAAGATAAACTCGATACGCAGACTGACCCGTGCCGTGTGTCTCAACCATATACAGCAGTAACTGAACTCACATTCAACAGACCCAACAGCAGCATTATGCGTAACTTTGAGGCCTATTGAGCTCCATAGGACTCACCTCACACTCAGCTCAATAGGACTCACCTCACACTCAGCTCAATAGGACTCACCTCACACTCAGCTCAATAGGACTCACCTCACACTCAGCTCAATAGGACTCACCTCACACTCAGCAGCCGCTTTTGTATCATCAGCAGCGCCACCACCTTTGTCACCATTATCTGCTGCTTTTGCCGCTCCTTTACTTCCCTCCTTTCCATCTTCTGTGCTCTCTCCCCCGCTGCCTTTCTGCTTCACCTGCTGCCATGGCTGCTCCACTGTTGCGTGCTTTGACACCATGTCCCTGCGATGGAATGGGGGTGGTGGGGTGTCATCTCATCCATGAGACTACATTCTAGTGGGCTTGAAAGCTGGCTCAAGATGCAAGGTGGTGGTGGGGCTGACCGAACGAGGAAGGAAAAGATGAACTGGCAAGATGGGGGGCGTGAAAGCGAGGGAAGCACACAAGGGTGGAAGGGGGAGGGAGGGAGGGAGGGAGGGAGGGAAGGAGCTCACTGAAAGAGCTGGGGTTGGAGAGGAAGGGCTGTAACGAACTCCTCCCTTGACGTCATGAAGCCCTGGGGGAAGAGCGACTGCACGCAGGTGGTGCGGAGTGGTGCAATGCAGTGTGGTGCGGTGTCGGGTAGTGTGGTGTGGGGGGTTATGCTTATCAACCAACCAACACCTGGAATCATAACAAGCAAGCAACCGAGATGAGAGGGCCATGCCAGACCAGGCCAGACCAGGCCAGAAAAGGCCCCGCGGTAGCCAATGGGAGACACGACACCGTGACAACACAAGTACACAATACACGCGAGCCCTTGTTATAGTGGACTTCCAACCTAAAACGAAAAAGGAAGAAAAAAGCGCGAGCCAAACGATTGGTGAAAAGCGTCAATGATGCTTGAGTGCAAAATGGGGTCACTCTACGGCCTCAGGAGCATGCCCGATGCGATCTCAGGGGCTGTTGAAAGTTGAAGGCTCACGCCAAGAGGAAGAGAGGAGGGAGGGAGGGAGGGAGGGAGGGAGGGAGGGAGGAAGGGAGGGAGGGAGGGAGGGAGGGAGGGAGGGAGGGAGGGAGGGAGGGAGGGAGGGAGGAAGAGAGGGCAGAGGTGGCGTGCCTTGAAAATGGCATGGATGTCATGAGGCTCCCTGTGATCGCTTGCCTGCTTCTTCGCCTTCTTCTTCGTCTGCTTCCCATGGCCGCACATGCACACACACGCACACACTCCCCCCCACAAACGTCGTGCATATACACACACACACACACACACAAACACACACGGACAAGGGACAGTAACAGGATGCAGCAAGGCGAATCGGTGGGAAGACAGAGCATGAGGGAGCGCAAGCAAAGGGCTTACGAAACGAGGAAAGAACAAGGAGGCAGCGAGGCAAGGGACGAGCAGGAGACAGTGACGGGAGGCAGAAAGCGGAACGCAAGGAGCGAATAGGAGGTGCAGATGGTACGTGGGTGGGCGTGCCTTGGGCAATTCATGCGAGTAGGAGATGTCGATGAAGGTGAGGAAGGTGCATGCATGCATCCATATGTCCACCTGGTGTCGCATGATGTCAGGGCAGGAGGGGTGGGGTGGTTCGATACACTGTGAGAGCCATGTGGCATGGCATGGGCATGGCATGGCATGGGCATGGCATGGCATGGGCATGGCATGGCATGGCATGGCATGGCATGGCATGGCATGGCACGGCATGGCACGGCATGGCATGGCACAACATGGCATGGCATGGCACAACATGGCATGGCATGGCACGGCATGGCATAACACGGGAGTGATGACAGGACGCACATCAATAGGACGTTGAATCTGATGCAAGTCACCTAAGCCATCCCAACCCAGGCACAGTAACGCACCACATGCACACATACACACCACATGCACACATACACACCACATGCACACATACACACCACATGCACACATACACACCACATGCACACATACATACCACATGCACACATACATACCACATGCACACATACATACCACATGCACACATACATACCACATGCACACACAACACATGCCCAACCACGAACGTTCCATCCCACCCCAGAACAGCACGGTCATACTCCCTCTTACATGATTCGCAGTTCCCACACGCACCTGCAGGTCCTTGTAACCGTACAGCACCCACCTGCAGGTCCTTGTAACTGTACAGCACGCACCTGCAGGTCTTTGTAACCGTACAGCACCCACCTGCAGGTCCTTGTAACCGTACAGCACGCACCTGCAGGTCCTTGTAACCGTACACGATGCCATCGTCCCCGAACATCTGGTGCACGTACTCAGGGCAGCACTTCACACTGCCCTCGCCACGCTCCTCCCTCTCCACATCCTCCACTCCCCGCACTGCACTTCCAACCAGGAGGGGGAAAACGAGGAGCAAGGAGGGGGAATGCGAAGAGGAAAGCCGTGAGCTTGAGCTGAGGGTAAGTAACCCGCTGACGACTCATACGGGTTGGTTGGACACAAGCTGAGGGAAACGAAAAAGTTCAAAGACGTTCCAGAACGGCATACCAGGGGGAAGGGGAAAAGGGAATGTCCCAGGTAACAACGGGTTTGGCTTAAACGGCAGTCAGTCAGTCCTACCCAGCAGAATGGTGATGCAGTCTTGCGCGTAGCTCTCATACTCGCCCAATGGCTCCTTCCCCTCCTCCTCATCCTCCTCCTTCTCTCCGCCCGCTCCCTGCGCTTCTCCGTGCCGCCGCTTCTTCCCCTCGCGCATCGCCTGCGCCTCCCGCTCCCGCTCGTCGTCCGAGTCCCCGTCCCGCCAGTTTATCCCCTTCCCGCATCCCACTCTGCGCGGCTCCTGCGCTGGCTGGTGGCGCGCGGAAGACCCCGCGCCATCTCCGTCGTCTGGGGGGAAGAGGCGGAGAGGAAGTCGCGTGTGGGGGGGGGGGGGGAAGGGGGAGGGGGAGCGGGGAGACAGGTGCAGCGGAGCGCGGAGGAGCAGCGGGAGAGGGAGGCGATGGAGTGTGAGGGGAGGGACTGGGGGATGAGTGGGTTGTTTTGAACTCCCAAACACCAACTGGATGGGGCTCGGTGGACTAGTAACTATCAGGTCGTCGCCTACGCGCACGTCGACGTCTCTAATCCCGCCTCGTACTAGATCGCCACGTCATCGCGTCGCCGCTGGCTTACGCCAGCTGTAGCGGAAAAGCAGGGAATACAGCACGGCTGGCAACGGGGCGCGGACCCAGCTTCGCTCACCCGGCACGGAATGGACTCCGCTGGGTGACTACAAGACAGCCTAGGCAAAGAATAACGCGCGTGGTAGAATGGCTTTAAGGGAGAAACCCTGCGACGCGACTGGAAGACGAGACGCGACGGGCGCAAGAGGGAAGGATGGCGGGTTAGAGAGGGATGAGTGAGTTAGGAAAGGGTTGGATTATTACCAGAGCTGAAGTGAACGCGCTTCGATTTGGGAGGGTCGGACATGACACGTGGTTAAAATTGTCCAAAGGCGGCGAAAGTCAATGAGAATAGTGTAAAATCTATCGGAAGCTCTAGATCTCGGCCGCCGCGCTCCAAGATTCCTGTGTCAAGAGAGTTTTCTCCATCGGGCCTTTGGATTTGGAATTTAGAATGTTTGTTCGACATGGTTTGAGGATCAGAGCAATTCGCTAAATTTGTTCGCCTTACATGTTGTAAGGAACTTTCTCGTATGTTTCGGGTGCAATGGAACGAGGTAGCGAGGATTCCACTATGTGGGTCAAAAGGACAAAGTATGAAAACATGCAACGGTTACTAGCTAGTGCTAGGCTCGCATCGAGGTTCGGGCTAGTCCCGAAGCGTAAGCCGACTCGGCCAGGCCAGCGGTGCATGGTTTGGTAAACCAGTGCGCGCGAAGTTGGCGAAGCCCCGTTAGCAGTAACGGACAAACAACGGTTGCTGCTGTACGCGATGTTGATGGTCGCAGTAAGGAATGTCGAGAAAAAGCGCAGCCACATGACCCGGCAGAAAAAAAGAACGCTCACAACGAGCGCTTCCAGCCCCAAAACAAGGAAGGTTCCGCACATGTGCAGGAAATGGAGCCGGCGCTCTTCATTCGCGAGCGCCGATGACCGATGTTGATCGCAACCCTCCCACAACCAATGTTGGCTTGGTGATAGGCCCAGACAAGGACAGCACGTGACCCGGCGGAAGAAAAACGCTCGGAACGAGTGCCCATACCCCAAAAACGCGAAAGGATCCGCACACGCAAGTAGGTGAGCCAGCGTAACTCCTGTGCAGCCATAGCCCCAGCGTAGATCTCAGCCTCACAACTGGAGCCGAGAACAGAAGACGAGCGGGTAGCCCGCCACGAGACAGAGCCGGAACCAAGGCTGAAGGTGTAACCCTGTGACGACCGCTGCGTAGCCTGGTCGTCAGCCCAAGAAGCGTCTGCGTGCCCAGTGAGGACCACTGGACTGCGCCCTCCAAGCACTAGCCCCATGCCCGACGTACTGCACAAGTAGCGCAACACCCTCTTCGCTGCAGCCATGTGCTCTGGTCGGTGTCTCCCAGGAGCAACAAAGCGTGCGAGAATGCTAAGAGGGTATGCGAGGTCAGGTCGTGTGCAGGTCATCAGGTACATGAGGCAGCCAACAAGCTCTGCAAACGGGCCACTCGACTCTACGGACTCATCCGAAGGCAGAGCTGAGAGCGAGTGGCGAGTAGGCAGAGGAGTGGCCTGAGGCGAGGAGTACGTGAAGCCGAAGCGCTGAAGGACCTGCTGCACCATGTGTGACTGAGTCAGGGTAATGGTGCGGCGTGCTCTGTCCCGGGTGATCTGCAAGCCAAGGTAGCTGCGCAGTTCACCCAGGTCAGTGCACGTGTGTCTCTTCTGCAGCTCGGACTTCACGTAGGCGAGTCCAGCAGTGTCAGCTGTGGCAAAGACCAAGTCGTCGACGTACACGAGGATGTAGAACGGCGGCAGAGAGGTGTCGGTGCGCAGAAACAGCGACGGGTCGGCAGTGGAAGGAGCAAACCCAAGTGCCGCGAGCGTAGTCCTCAGTGTGTCGTGCCACTCACGTGGCGCCTGGCGGAGACCGTAGACTGGACGCCGGAGACTCCACTGGGTACCAGGAGGGAAAGACCCAGTGAAGCCAGGTGGGCGACGCAGCCAGATCTCCTCGTGCAGGCTGCCCTGCAAGAAAGCTGTGCTGAAGTCGAGAGAGTGCAGCTCGTAGTCACGGTGAGCAGCAACGTGTAGCAGAACCCGAAGAGTGGTCATCTTCGGGGTGGGGGAGAAGGTCTGAAAGTAGTCAACCCCCTGCCGCTGACTGAAGCCACGAGCCACGTAACGCGCCTTGAAGACAGGCGGAGAACCCGGCGGCCGCTTCACCCTGAAAATCCACATGCCACTGACGATGTTTGCCCCAGGAGGGGGAACAGCGTCAACGTAGGTGCCTGTGGACTTCCAGGAAGCCATCTCTGCATCCATAGCTGCCTGCCACTGAGAGGAGTAGGGACCCTCTATCGCCTCCGCGTAAGAGCGCGGAGTCGGGATGTCTGGTGCATCCGGGTCTCCCTCAGGGGCTAGCAGTACAGACGCGAGACGAGGTGAAGCGGCGGCCAGACACTGGAACTCCTCCTGCCTGTCCTCAAGGACGTCCGTGCCAAGGGCACACTCACCCCCGACGGACGGAGGACAGGCGGACTCAGACTCAGTGACAAGACGAGCAGCGTAGTCTAGACGACAGCGCGCAGCAAAGTCGACAAGCTCAGTGACAAGGGCAGACGCAGCAGACGACTCGAAGGAGGGGTCAGTGACAGCAGTAGCCAGGAGACGCGTGACAGTAGGACTGGCAGCACGAAGAGCGTCCGACTCCGGGTCGGCAAGAGCAGGAAGAGAGGAAGCAGGAGGAGAAGGCAAAGGGGCACGCAGAGGAGCAGTGGACGGACGCAGTGACATCCGGTGCGTGCCAGGGACAGGAGGAGGACGCTGACGCGACCCGCGACCACTAGCGCGCTCAGTACGAACAGGCGACACAGGACGAGACGCAGGCTCACGACGCTCAGTAAGACCTCCAGTCGGACCAGCGTAGGGAGAAGGAGCAGGCAAAGGGGAGGCAGGCTGTAGCTGTGGCTGTGACCGGACAGGCTGCGGACCCTCTAAGGGAGGAGGAGGAGGTGTAAGACCAAGAACCTGCTGCAGGAGCGGAACGAAGTACGGTCGGGGCCGCGCGGCGACGCTAGAAACAGCAGGAACAGCACCAGCAGCCCCGGCAGGAGCACCCACTCCAGCAGCACCTCCAGCAGCACCACCAGAAGCTCCAGAACCTCCAGCCGCAGCACCAGGAGCACTGTCAGTCGGGCCGCCAACGGCAGGCTCAGCGCCAACACCCTCAGCAGGACCAGCTCCAGGAGAACTCTCAGACTCAGCAGCTCCAGCACCCACAGTACGAGCACCGGCGGGGCGCGCAGCAGCAGTGCCCTCTGCAGCCGAAGAACCACCAGCACCAGCAGCACGCCTCCAGCGCCCGGCAAACCACTCACGCAGCTCCTGTGGGGAGAGTGGCTCCCGGCGAGACGAAGCACCCCCAGGCACAGCACCCCCTGGCTCAGCACCCCTAGACACAGCACCTCCAGGCACGGCACCCCCACGCTCAGCACCCCCAGGCCCAGCACCCCCAGGCACAGTACCCCCAGACTCGGCACCTCCAGGCTCAGCACCCCCAGGCACAGCGCCCCCAGGCTCAGCACCCCCAGGCTCAGCACCCCCAGACTCGGCACCACCAGGCTCAGCACCCCCAGACTCCGCACCCCCAGGCTCAGCTCCCGCAGCAGCACCAGAGTCACCAGTGACCTCGACAGGCTCGACCGCGTCTACCTGGGACACACCTGAAGGCGCAGGACCCTGAGGGGGGAGGGGGACTACCGGGGGGGGACCTGGTACCAAGAAGAGCGGGGGTGGGGGGAGGGACGGAGTGCGGTAGGGGAAGAGGCGGTAGTAGGGCACCGACTCGTCGAACGTGACGTCCTGGGAGGACAGAACACGTCGAGAGGTGGGGTGGTAAAACTGCCACCCAGGGGCGTCGGGGGGGAACCCCAGGAAGACGCAGGGAGAAGCACGAGGGGACAGCTTGTCCGCAGACAGGTCGCGAACAAACGCCCGAGATCCCCAGACCCGGAACGCCGACGCATCGCCAACCTTCCCCGTCCACAGCAGGGCTGGGGAGGTCTCCGGTTGAGAGACCCTGGGGTGGAGGTTGATCTGGTGCGCAGCGTACCTGACCGCAAACGGCCACAGAAAATGGGGAGCAGCCGCATGCATCATGGACGTACGAGCGACGTCCATGACCATGCCAATGCGGCGCTCAGCAATCCCATTTTGCTGCGGTGAGTCCGGAAGCGTGAAGGTCTGACGGATGCCTCGCACACGACAGTAGGCACTCAGGAGGCCGGAGGAGAACTCTCCACCTCTGTCCGAGTGCAGACGCAAAACAGGGAAGTCAGAGCCAAAGCTCCTCCGAAGCTGGAGACGAGCTGCGCGGATCCAGTCGATCAGCACCTCAGTGACCTCACCCTTGCTGCGCAAGGGGAAGACTGTGGTGTAACGCGAGTAGTCATCAACCACCAGCAGGAAGTAGCGCTCCTGACCCTGTCCACGGACGCGGGCTGGGCCCCACACGTCCATGTGAAGCGTCTGCAACGGGGCCTCTGTGGGAGGAAACTGGGAGGAGTGAGGGGCAGCACGCTGGCGCCCCTCGACACAGGGGACACAGGTGGGGCCAGGGCCCGGAGGAAGGGGAGGGAGAGACCGGGGAAGACCAGACACAAGGACTCGCGAGGCCATGCCTCTGAGCCGAAGCAGAGAGGGGTGGCCAAGGCGGTGGTGCCAGAGGAGGGTCTCGTGAGACAGACGACGACACGAGCAGGGGGCAGACTCAGGACCAGACCTGGACGCTGCAGCAAACACCTGACCAGACGAAGGGACCCTACCAGACTCAGCACCTGGAGGAGAAGCAGTGGTCAGTGTGTACAGGCTCGACCCTGGCCGACGTGTAAACGTAGCCAGGTGGCGACCTGTATCCTCCTCCGTGCAGTGGGTCACCCGCTGACGAGCAGGGGTGAACTGGTGGACACCCGCATCCTGGAGGTCAGCACCACTCACCAAGTTCGTCGAGAACGAGGGGAGGTAGAGACCAGTCAGGGTGCCAGAGGGGGCCGCCGGACACGGGAGGACAGTGGAGAAGCGAGCCAGGACCGGCCCCCCAGAGGGGTCAGCCAGGGACACTGCAACCGGTCGACTCAGCGGCGTGAGAGTGGTGCGGTCCCTAAAGAAGGAGCGAGACGCTCCAGAGTCAAGGGTGAAGGTGTGAGAGGCCGAAGCCGACACAGTACCTGAGAGGGCAGACTCACCAGCACCTGAGAGCACAGACGCACTGGCACCTAGAGCAGCAGCCTCACTAGTACCTGACGCGGCAGTACCAATGCCCGGGTCGGGCGGGAAA